GCCACTAGAGGCGCTTGCGTGCTTCTCACTGTGATTTTCACAGTGAGAGCACGCCAGCGTCCATAGGAAAGCATTGTAAATGCTTTCCTATGCGACGGGCTGAATGCGCGCGCAGCTCTTGCCGCGCGTGCGCATTCAGCGGAGGAGGAGGATCGGAGGAGGAGAGCTCCCCGCCCAGCGCTGGAAAAAGGTAAGTTTTTACCCCTTTCCCCTTTCCAGAGCCAGGCGGGAGGGGGTCCCTGAGGGTGGGGGCACCCTCAGGGCACTATAGTGCCAGGAAAACGAGTATGTTTTCCTGGCACTATAGTGGTCCTTTAAGTCTGTGTGTATGGAGTCAATCTGTATGTGTGCATGTATGGGTCAGTCTGTGTGTGAGTGTGTATGTATGGGTCAGTCTGTGTGTGTATGGGTCAGTCTATGTGTGTATGGATCAGTCTGTGTGTGTGTGTGGATGGGGTCAGTCTGTGTGTGGGGGCAGTCTGTGTGTGTGTTTGGTTAGTCTGTGTGTGTTTGTGGGGGGAGGGGGGATCAGCCTGTGTGTGTATGGGTCAATGTCTGTGTGGGGGGTCAGTCTGTGTGTATATAGGTCAGTCGGTGTGTGTGTGTGTATAGCTCAGTCTGTGTGTGTATGGCTCTGTCTGTGTGGGGTGGGGTCAGTCTGTGTGGGGTCGGATCAGTGTGTCTGGGGGGACTCAGTCTGTGTGTGTGTGTGGGGCAGTCTCTGTGTGTGGAGGTTAGTCTGTGTGTGGGGGAGGGGTCAGTTTGTGTGTGTGTGGGGGTCAGTTTTTCTGTATATGGGTCAGTCTTTGTTTGGGGGCTCAGTCTGTGTGTGTATGAGCCAGTTTGTGTGTGAGGGGGGTCAGTCTGTGTGGAGGGCAGCTGCTGGTGTGAGTCAGTGTGTGTGTGGTTCAGTATGTGTGTGAGAGTGTGTGTATGGGTCAGTCTCTGTGTGTGTGTGTGTGTGGGGGGTCAATCTGTGTGCAATTGTGTGTGTGTATGTATGGGTCAGTCTGTGTTTATGGGTCAGTCAGAGGGAAAAGAAAAACAAACAAGCAGACAGTGCACAGGATGGTACACTTTATACATGCACACACACATAAATATGTATATGTGAACGCATAAACATCTTTAACAAGATATTTATGACCCTCTGCTAAGATGGTGTCTTTTCTACACTCATGTCGCTTTAACCCCTGTATCACAACTCAACTTTGAATTCTATGTGTCGTTTTGCTCAGAAATGCTTCAGACTTGAGAAAGGGAGGTTCTCCCGAAAGCTTGTCATTAAAAAATTCTGTTAGTCCAATAAATAAGGTATTACAAGATAATAATTTTATCTGTTTTTTACATCTACATCACTGGACTAATACGGCTACAATCTCTACATATATATATATATATATATATATATCTACCTACAGGTTCTTGATAAGCACAAAATGCAACCCCAATACACACACACTTACACTGCAGCCCCTAGATGCACACGCACACACTTTACAGGCCCTCTCAGCACACACACACAATCTCAAAAGCTCCTATACATGAGCACGTGCACACTACAGCCCCTAGTTACATATATTGCAACATAAACAGACTCCTATATACACCCACTTCACGACAGCCCCTTCTAAACACCATGGAAAATTATCTTGCATCTCCTGAAAAGGTTTTCCAGTTTCTGTGAAAAGGTGTCTCGCCTGTAATAATGAAGGCGCAGCAGTGGAACTACAGGTGCTGGTGTTGCGGTTACACCGGGGCCCATCGAGTGGGCATGTGTCTTCAGGGGCCCAAAACAGTTTTTGCACCAGGGCCCACTCTACATTAGTTCCGCCACTGTGCAGCAGCTTCCCCGGCTCACAAGCTCTGCCTTGCACGGAAGATCGCCTCACCATACGCAAGCTCCGTCCCCAATCTCTGACTGAGAAACACACTGACAGACACACACATTCTGACAGACATACAGTGACAGGCACACACTCTCTGACTGAGACACATACACACACTGATAAACATACATACACACACATTTTCTCACACACTCACAAATTGCTATTTTTATTTTAATTTAAATCCACCCAGCCTCCCTACCTTAGGGAGAGCTGAGAGGATCTTTTCCTGGTGTCCAGTGTGTATCTTCGTAATCTTTCTGCAGTTTCTCTCTGCTCCCCTGCGCACTCTCTGTAGTGATGCCTGGGCCGGAGTGACGGCATGTCACTAAACAGTGCGCGAGGGAGCCGAGAGGAACTGCAGGAAGGTTACTGCTCCCTCGCGTGCCGCCTCCATTCCACAATGTTGATACACTATGTCAAAGGGTTCCACTGGGAAAATGAATTGGGAACCCCTCCTTTATAGATATTCTGACTGAAAACGGATCCGTTTGTGTAACCCTTTATATTGACTTCTGATCTAGAGATGCACACAACCAAAAAAATCATCTTGTTCTTGTAAAATTGTAGAAAAGTATTTCCTTTAATTATACATAGGAATTACTATTTTTTTCCCCACAGATTGATTTTAAATGTACCCGTTTATAAGGAACCCTCGTGTTACTGTGATGAAAAGAGCAATCACCAATAAGAGGAAGATCACATGAAATCCCCATTTCACGCTACAGATAACACAGATATCAGCGTTTAGTTTTATGCGATCACAAGCCAAAAACTCAGGCACATACTGCATTTCTTCTAATCTGTAGTGCTTTTTTTCAGAATAAAATTATTGTTTAAATGGTGATTGATGTATAGTTTGTTGCATGCTGGTATATGATTCATAAGGCATGTAACGCAGTATTAGTCAGACTGCTAGATTATTCATTCCTAAACCACGTAACCACTAATTTTGCCAGTTGTCATTACACTCATAGAGATACTAGACTCGTTTGATAAGATAATATGATATGATATAAGGGTCAAACGAAAACTTTACTCATTAATCAGAATTTTTTTATTTTTTTTATTTCCTGGGGGTTGATGAGATGATAATCCTGAGGGTGATAAAACAATAAAGTAACAAAAGTGACAATAAAATTATTTTATTAACAATTTTAGTTTCACTAGATTTTAGCTCAAAGTGGAACAACGTTCTAAAGGTAAATATAGGTCAAACACATTTAAATATATTGAATGCAGAATACTTGAAGAACAGATCAGCATTTTCCATAGTACTTCTGAATACATGTCCAGAATGTGATTTATATTGTGGTTTTGGGTACCCTCGAGTACTCGTTTCTCTCTTTTAGATAGAAACTCTTTCCTCCTCCTCCTCTTTTGGACTTTAGGAGTTTATTGACTATATGTAAAGTCTGTACTCACTTGTTCCTGCATTGGTTAGACAGATGATGGTCACAGATGATTCTTACACAGGAAAAACATTTAGTCATTTTATGTTCATTTAACTGCAACACTTATCTTGCTGTGGAAAGTGTGAAGTAAAAATGAAAATACAATATTCACGATCATTGGGCCCTGAATTTTCCCTTTTATAACTTCAAGTCTAGTTTGTGGTTTTAGTTTGGAGAATAGAAAATAAACAGTAGTGCAATACCATCATTCTAGTTAGAAACTGGCTATATAAATACAATCTGACATCAACCCACGGTTTTATTGAATTGATCAAATATTATTATAGCATTTTTTTTAATGGATTAAATTAGAAAAGTGAAAATGGGCCTAACATATGTGTTTGACTGTTCCACTGGCAGCTTTTCCATAGAATGAAATAAAAAAATAAAAAAAATAAAAATATATATATATATATATATATATAAAAATAAAGAAAAAGGGACCTTGCACTCCTACTCACAGTCTTATCACCCGATGCTCGATTGCACTAAATTGTATACTGGATAGGCAATTGTAAAAAAAAAAAAAAGATTTTTATTTTTATTTTTCAAGTAAACTATCGTTTTGTGATAAACCTTGGAGTGCTGATTTTTCTATGCAGTATATATATATATATATATATATATATATATATATATAATTTTAATAGAATTAGAAAACAGGGAAGACCACACTCTCTCCAAATATCCCGAATTTACCTAAAATTTCCCAAATATCCATCATATCCCCTTTGTGCCATCTGCATGGATCTATATTAAAATAACATTGTACGTTGTTGTTGGTCGTCATATGGCTCTGCTTATTGCTGTCTGCCATTACACTTTACCAGATACAATGGCTGTCTTTGAAGTAGGTTTTCTAAAGTTTAAAATGTTTGAGTAGAGAATAAGTAAACCATCATATCATGACCATCCTTTTCAAATGTTTTTATTATAAAAAAAATGAAAAAAAAATGAAAATGATACAATGTAAACATATGTATGCAAATAAAGAAAAAAACTGAGAAATAATTGGAGAATATAATTAACACATATTATCCAATATAAGTTACAAATAAGAAATGTCCATTTCAAAAGGTATACTCAGATACTCACAATGCCTAAGAAAAAAGAATGAATTGTCAAACCTATTGCGCGTAACATGATGCTTAAGAAAATAATTTATGATTACTTTTATTATTGTCTGGTGAGGTGAAGGTAAATGTTAGAAATTATAACGATTTCTGATGTCCCGTTCAGAGTTCCCATTCATTTCTTAAAGTGTTAACCATATGTGAATATGGTCTAAAGGCTAAATCACATCTTTTAATTTCCAAAATATTAAGCAACACCTCAGACATTGAAGGGATAGTACCAGATTTCCAGTGATCAGTGAGAAGCTTAACCAGAGTGTGAATATCTTCCCAATATTGTTTCAGCTTGGGGCATGACTAAAAATGATGATAAAGTGACTGCACTCCCTCCAGCATGTATTTGTTTGACAACATTTAAATTTAAAAAGTCTAGAGGGAGTCTGATACCATCAATATACGAGCTTATAGTGAGGCATATAAAAGTACCACAGACTGAGTGATACCGTTGAACACTATTAGAATCTCATGCCACTCTTCTACTTTAAACACCTTGTTTAGTTTGCCTTCCCATTTTGTCATATAGTCTAATTTAGGACCAAGTTCCCATCACAATAAGCATGGCACATCGAGATGGTGCGCCTCTGACCAGGATCTGAGGGACAAATCTTTTCCAATGGTGTGATTTCAACTTTACGCACTTCTAGATCTTGATCAGAAACATTAAAATGATCACTAACTGCTGCCCCCATCCGTCTGTGCATGAGGGCATCAGAGCCGTCCAGACCAACTTTGGCCTTTAATTGGTCAAAAGAGAAAAAAATTATTAGACAAAAATAAATCATTAATATGTATGACAGAATGGGAAAGCCAATATTCCACGTCCAGGTCAGGAAATGCAGATGACAACACCGACAAGCCCTTGACCAGAAAGCAGAAGGGTTAATCTTCTTGTATACAGCTTCCAAAGCCTTAATGGTGGCTTTGGTAGTTGGAAACATGTTCGCCACCCATGGCCGTCGAGAAGGAATCAACCACAGCACTTCAGTTATTAAATGAGGAAAAATCTTCGTAGCCTCCATCTCAATCCACAGAGGGCATCCATGAACCAAATTAAACTTAAGAGCATTGGCCGCATTAGTCCCTAAATATGTATGAAGTTTTGTAAACCCATACCTCCACTAAATCCTGAACATTCTTGTTGGATCTGTCTGTGCATGCTGTGGCCCTCAAGCTCCTCTCCCAAACCCTGTTATGTCCCTACCTACCACTAATACTAATTAATATTTAGGGTGGCACTAATCTAAAATATATAAATAAAACCTGCAATAAAAAACAAATGAAACATATTATCCTTGTCCATGTCATGATTTAAAATGTTCTTTTCTTCAATCTTCCTTAATTTATCAAAAATAATTCCCATCACATACCGAGACGACTTATTAAAACAAACAAAAAAAACTCAAATTGCACAAAACCTTCATAAAAAAGTAAAACCGTGGCAAAAGGTTTCAATGGAGGGCTCCATGCAGAGTGTTCAAGGCAGAAAAAGCTTTTTTTTAAAAGACATGCAAGACTTGCCCAGAATGTGTATGGATCTAAATCTGGAAACTTTTGAGTAAGCGGCACTGGATGTTGGCTGGTACATACCAACTAAAATAAAAGTTAAGAATTGTATACGTAGAACAATAGTGTTGCTCTGAATGTGGAATGTGTTTTAAACTATCCTTCTCTTGGTTCAAAATGTATTTTTTTTTTCTTTGTAAATGGGCCTTATTGATTTTCAACAGAATATTAGATATAAACATAGATAAGGGGTAATTCGTTTTTGACAAAAATTTCTTGTTAAAAATGTAAGCAATGGAGGGATCCACACGCTCTTCACTTGTAGACCTCAGTGCACTGGACCTAGGGCTGGCAAACACCCATTCCATAAAGTGAAGACAATGTAGTCCAGGCACTTAGGGTCTTTTTTCAAACAGATGTTTTATTGGAGAAACACAGCAAACACAGCAGCGTTCCGATCCACACACCGAACTTTGTCAAACTGCTATTTATTTCTGAACTACATTTTCTTCATTATTAAAAAATGTATCACTTCAACAACACATTTAATGGCATGAAATTGATTTCCGTAAGATTTGTAAATGTGTTTTTTTTTTAAAACCTCTCCTCTAAAAGTGAAAGCTATCCCCATGCACAAATTCATATTTTGAAAACAGATACAAAATATACACTAACCCCATACGTGATAAAACCTCATACTCATGTATTACATCTTTCAATTTGACTATTAAAAACATGCATTTATCTAAAACAAAACTGGAATTCTTGCAAATCGACTTCTTTGTTCTCTGCAAAATAACCACTTCAGAGAGTACCCACTTTTGGCTCAAAATGAAAAAAAAAAAAAACAAGACCGTAATCACAGGAACAAGTCATTATTTTCTTAAATGCTCTTTAAAATTTAAGGTACAAATCTAGTTACAGGTCAACAGCCAGCAAAACAAATTAAGGGAATTGTCAGGTAAGTTTGCAAGAAAAGCTTAATGGTACCAGAACCACTACAATGACCTGTAGCGATTATGGAACTTGAATTGTTGCTTTAATTAGCAGTGTAGTGATGCAGTAATAAAGGCTTTAGTAAAAATAAGTGTGCTCAAAAAAGACTGGTAAAGTTATGCACATAGCAAAATGGTTCTTACAGCTCTAACAATGAAATCAGTGATAAATTTGAAGAGGAACAGTTAGGATTTGAGAACCATTGAAATCCTGACATGGCATTACCAGTGGACCAGTAAAGTGGTCCTTAAGTTTTGGATTATAAGTATAGTATAAAAAGCGTGTTTTTAATATCACTTCAAGTGCCTCCCAATACGGATCATTGGTAAACTTAGTTTGAGGCTCGATTTAAAACACATTGTGAAGTAGTAATGCTAAAGTACTTTAAACCCCTTTGCAAAAAATCATGACAGTAAAAATTGATTATTAAAACAGATTATTAATATTAGATGTTTTTCTACTTCTCAGATTCCAAACATAATTTGCCTGTGTTGTAAACATTTTTTTTTAATTAGAGATTTTAATTAATATATTAAAATCTGCGAACGGGACGTCAAGAATTGATATAAATTATAACGTATAACTTCACCTGACCAGATAAAGTTATTTATATGATCTTATTTTAAGCGCCATGTTGCATGTAAAATATTTGGCATCTTTAATTATTTATTTATTTTTTGTTAATACTGACTATAGTTTTTTGAAAAAACATTAATTATTACAAATTGTATCGAATCATATGCGTAAATTGTATTCCCTGGTTATTTGTTGTTTTTTTTTGTGTTTCTGGATTTTTAAAAAAATTATGTTATTTACATATATATTCATATTATATTATTCTTAATGTTATGGAAAGAAATTTATCCATAATAAAAAAACATTTAAAAATAATTAACATAGTATACCTGTGATTAAAAAAAATTACAAACATTTTCTTGGAACAATATATTTCTCACGCAAGCAATTAAAATTGTTATTAATTATATCATAGTAATATAATGAATAAAATTATTTGCTGGAGAAAGTCTTGCCTGGGATTGTTAAATTGGCACTTGCATCATTAGCTAAAATATTTAACCCCTTAAGGACACATGACATGTGTGACATGTCATGATTCCCTTTTATTCCAGAAGTTTGGTCCTTAAGGGGTTAATAGACAGTGTAATAGGTACTGTAGCTTGAAAGCTGTAGATGTGAGTGCATGTAATGCTTACGGTACATTTTTGTGTTTTATGTTTACCCTGACTGAGCCTACACTCATTATATTTGATAATAACTTTTGGAATGGGTGAGAGATATAAATAGACAAGTCTCGTTCAGGAAGTTCTAAAAGAATTCAGTGACAGGGAAGGGACCATGCAACAGCCACTCCTAGGCAAGTAATGCGCCAGGACAGGATTTTATTTGTCCTTATCAGATAAAACGCTGTAATTTGGATTGTGCCTGGGGGATTATAGGGCTGCAGCGTGGGAATAACATTTTCATGGCAAAACAAGGCAAGTCTGTGTGTGACTCATGCTTGTTTTATGGGACTTTAAATCCCCCTATATTTTACATAAACCTATGTTTGATAGAAACAGGCAGACTGTGATATCTACATATTCATGAAAAAAATCAAAGTGGTGGAATTTGGTGTAGCAAATACATGATCAGATTCACTACCCCCCCTTCCCCCCACCTGCCCCTCTCCCCTGAAAATTAACCCAAATCCCAGATTGGAACATGTAACAGCACTATATACTGATTAGCCACATGATTAAATCACTGACAGGTGAAGTGGATAACATTGATTATATTGTTACACTGGAACCTGTCATGGGGTGGGATATATTGGGAAGCAAATCAACAGCCAGTTCTTGAATTTCATGTGTTGGAAGAAGGGAAAATGGGCAAGCAAAAAGATCTGAATTACTTTAACAAGAGCCAAAAAAGGTTTTGACAATGGGGTCAGAGCATCTCTAAAACAGCAAGTCTAGTGGGGTGTTCCCAGTATGCAGTGGTTAGTACCTATCAAAACTGTTGCGAGGAAGGACAACCAGTGAACCGACAACAGGGTCATGGGTGCCCAAAACTCATTGATGCACCTTGGGAGAAATGGTTAGCTATTCTAACCCAAATCACACAAAAGAGCTACTGTATATCAGGTTGCTGAAAAACTGGAATCTGGCCATAATAGAAAAGTGTCAGAGCACACAGTGCATCACAGTTTGCTGTGCATGGAGCTTCATATCGGTCAGGGTGCCCATGATGACCCCTGTCTACTGCCAAAATGGGGACATGAGCATCAGAATTAGACCATGGACCAATGGAATAAGATTGCCTGCTCTGATGAATCACATTTTCTTTTAGATCAGGTGGATGGCCAGGTGCACGTGTGCTGTGTACCTGGGGAAGAGATGGCAGTAGGATGCACATGAGAAGAAAGCAGGCCAGTTGAGGCAGCGTTATGCGCTAGGCAATGTTCTGCTGGGAAACCTTGGGTTCTGGCATTCATGTGCATGTTATTTTGTCACGCACCACCTACCTAGAGATTGTTGCAGACCACATATAACCATTCCTCGGTTATAAGGTAAACGGTTTTGCAATTGCTTGGCTTTTATATGGGTCCCGCCAGGTGATTATCCTCCTCAAGTGTCAGGTGACTGCAGAGCTGCTGAAGCCAGATGCTGGTTCTGTCAGTCATTCATTGGCTGAGAGCATCAGCTGTATGCTCACAGCCAACCAAACACCCTTAAGCAGCTAGTCTAAATATTTCTTACTTAAACGCTGCACAAACAGACTCCAAGCACCATGACCACTTCAAAACAGCTTCTACTGCACTAACAGTAAAACCCGGTCACGTGACGCAGAAGCCCCCCCATAGGAAAGCATTTATTCAGTATGGGGAAGGTTGAATGCGTGCAAGACTTACCTCTATTAGGAGCATTGGATGGGACCATCCTCATTAATGTTGCTAGAGGTGGAGAGGTGAGCAGCACCGGCACTCAAAAAAGGTGAGTAAAATCTTTTTTTTTTAATTTTAATTCACACCAGAGGGTGGCTGAAAGCATGTATGGACACTATAGTATTAGGAATACGTATTTAGAGTATTAAGATATTCCTAAGTGTTCATTAATTTTCTTTTAAAGAATAGATCCCTCTACTGCAGTCACAGTTTTGTGCATGGAACAGGATGTAGTGGTGGGGGTGTTAATAGTCAAATTCCAAAATATGAACAATTAAAATACATGTATACAACATTACATACATTCAACATACATAGAAAGATTATATTTTACCCAGAGCTCATTAGAGGCTGGATCTCTCTGATCATGGGTCAGACTACCCCTGGTGGGGTGTCATTCTATAAAATGGATGTGGAACTTATTTCACTTTTCCGTTAGACGCTCACCCAGTCCCCACTCCTTCAAAACATCTTTAAAAACTCACTTTTTCACAAAGGCGTATCAATTAAACTGTTAATGGCTTCAAACTGATTCCTCTCCTGCAACTACTGTCATAAAACAAAACAAAAAAACACTGTCTTCAGTGAATAATAAATACCACTCTACATAGTTACATACTCTACTCCTACCCTTACCTTTTGTGTCACTTTACCTCACTCCCTCTAGCACAGTGGTTCCCAAACTTTTTAGTATCAAGGCACCCTTAATATTTGATTTTTTTCCAAGGCTACCCAGGTTAAAAAATGTCTAGGTTGGATATATGCACAGAGCAGCGGCATATACTGGGCCCCTGTTCGGCAGAAATGCTTGCCGAACCATCGCAGATCCAGAACCAAATCTTGGGAGGAGCACTGATAGATTATTTAATGAAACAATCCAGGCACAATAACCACTACAGCACTTTGTAGTGGTTATGGTGCCACTAGTGCTGTAGTGCCCTCCCAGAGTAAGTAGTAAAACTGTTTAAGAACAGTTTGACAACTTACCTGGGATCTGCTGGGATAGGGGCTGTAGAAGGGGATGGGGCAGTAGTTTGTGTGAGGAGTACAATATGTGTGTGAGCGGTGCAGTGTGTGAGGGGTGCAGTGTGTGTGTGGGGCAGCTTGTGTGTGGGGGGGGAGGCAGTGTGTGTTTGGGGGCAGGTTGTATGAGGGGTACAGTGTGTTTGTGAGGGGTACAGTGTGTGTGTTGGGCAGGTTGTGTGAGGGGTACAATGTGTGTGGGACAGTGTGTGAGGGGTACAATGTGTGTGGGGCAGTGTTTGAGGGGTACAGTTTGTGTGCATGGAGGGGCAGTGTGTGTGTATAGGAGGCAATGTGTGTGTATGGGGGGGCAATTGTGTGTGTGGGAGGGGCAATTGTGTGTATGGCGGGGCAGTGTGTGTATGGGGGGTAATGTGTTTGTGTGGGGGGGAGCAGTGTGTGTATGGGGGTTGTTATTGTGTGGTGTGGGAGGACAAAACCATAAATATATATATTTTTTTAAATTAAAAATATTTTTTTTATATGCCTTTATATATTTTTTACCTTTGCCTGGGAAGGGGGACATTTCCTGCAATCACCTGTGGTCCAGTGGGGAAGCTCTGGTGGTCCCAGTGATGAGAGTGGCAGCCTCAGGAGCTCCGAGCTCATGAGAGGAGAACCCGGCGGAACTGCAGGTTAGAGCTCCCCCAGGTCCAATCTCCCTCCCCTGCCGGTTGCCGCATTACACTGCTAGCGGGCCGGAGGGGGAGATATCTGATCTCCCCTCCAGTCCTGCAGAGCCGGCCGGGGAGAGAGAGGCACGGTTCCCGGTGCTATCATCATAGGATCATAGCACTGGGGAAATGGGTGCCGTGGCACACAGTTTGGGAACCGCTGCTCTAGCATGTAAGCTTATTGAGCAGGGCCCTCAGCCCCTCTCTTCCTGTGTGTCCAACTTCTCTGGTTACAATTACATGTTTGTTAGTCCACCCATTGTAAAGCACTATGGAATTTGTTGGCGCTACATAAAAATAATAATAATAATAATATATAGTAAGAAGTACTTCTTCATTTGCTTCAATGTTTTTTTAATGCTCAGTACTCTCCATGAATGCTTCCATATTTTTTTTTTTTTTTTTTAATTCTTTATTTTTGTGTGCATTGTTGAGTACAAAACAGCCCGCCTGGCCACAACAGCCTTGCGGGTGATGGTTGTTACAGGACTTCACAACATAGTTTAAGGCATACTTTTGTCTGTCAGTTCCAAGTTGTAATGTCAGCTAGATCTGCACCTCTTATTTTTATTTTACAAGTCAACTAGTGTGGAACTAAGGCTTCCATAGAGTGTATTTACAGTGTATGTCATTCCCCCTCGAGTTCCGGGATCGTGGTATTTCTGGGTGTGAATATCTGAAGGTTGTCGGCCCGTAGGTAGTAGTCAGCGTGTTTGTACCCCTTAATGTGTTCCGTGTTGGGTTTGCGTGTGTGTGCGCATGGCTGACCTTAGTGTTGTTCGTATCTGCGAGTGAATTATATGATGTCTGTTTATGTCAGCGTGTGTGCGTGGGGCAAGCGTTATCTCTCATGGAGCCCGTTGAATCTTTGTGGTCTATCAATGGATTGAGGTTTTGACTTCTTACCGAGGAAGTCGCGGGGGGGTGGGAGAAGGTATATTCTCCCCGGAGCTTGTGGTGTTCTTTGTCCGAGTAAGTCACGGCTGATGGCGGTCAGTCACAGTTATGGTATTGCGTAAGCTATACTTGTCGAGTGTGTGTGTAGTAATATCGTGCTGAAAACCAATAACAAAACACCAAAACATAAAAACCATAAAAAACAAGCATAGGGTAAAACAGTAGGTGAGCCGGCATGCAAAGCCCTAACGAGGGGGCGGTGTCTGGTTAATGTATTAAAGTCGCTGGCCACCATTAATGCAGTTCAGAACAGCTCATCCTCAGCGCCTGTGGGGGACACATAGGAGGTCGAAGGTCTGGCGCAGTGGGTCAGCTCAGGTTAGGGCTCCGCTTCTCTCAGTGTTCCTAGGAGTGAAAGAGATTACTGTCTCTGGGTTCCAAGTGTGTGGCGTCGTGGGATTCTCCCTTGTTTGTGTTAGAGCTGGCATCCCCAGTGCCCTCAGGAAAGGTTCTGCATCCTGTAGCGAGGAGAGGCTGTGCGTGGCGCCCCCCTTGGTCACTGTCAGGGACCTTGGGAATGTCCATTTATACTCGAGCTTTGCCTCTCTCAGTTGAGTTGTGACTGGGGCCAAGGATCTGCGCCATAGTAATGTGTTGCGGGTCAGGTCTTGGTAAAAGGTAACGTGAGAGTTTTCAAATGTTAGCGGGGTCTTCCCTCTGACCGCCGTGAGAAGCTTAATTTTGTCGGTCACAGAGTGACATCGGATAATGACATCTTGAGGGGCGTCCGTTGGTGCTTGTCTGGCTTTTCTGATTCTAAAACAGCCGTCCAATACCAATTTTTTTGCCTGAGCGGGTGGCAGAAGCGTTGCTATGAGACGTCTGAGGTAGTGGGGTAGTTCTGATGAGTCTACGGTGTCTGGGATCCCCCTTAATTTTAGGTTAGCACGTCTGTTGCGGTCTTCTGTTTGATCCAGTCTCGTGATTAGGGTGGACTGTGCGGCCTGCATATGGTAACAAGTGTCTTTTATCTCTCTCACCTCTCTTTGGAGATCTAGGATGTCCTCCTCTGTGGCCTGTGTGCGTGCGGTCATTGCTTGCATTTCAGTCTTTATTAGGTTGATATCTGCTGCATGCATTCTCCTCATTTCCATCAGGAGGTCGGCAATATCTTGTTTGGTAGCCGGGGTTTGTGTGTCTTGGCCAGCAAGTGACTCGGTGGCTTGGGGAGCGGTGGATATTTCTAATCCAGTCCCATGCTGTTCCCCCTCGTCTGGAGAGGCTGGCGTGTGCTCCGCCGGGGTCGCCATCTTGGGCGCCATTGGCCTCTGCAGCATGTCGCCGATATCTTGGGTGCCTCTGCCGGCGGTTAGTGGAGGCTTTTGGGACCTGCGGCCCATTGTGTAGCCGTCCGGTTCTGCGAGGTCCTTTAAGAGGTAGGTGCCGTGTCGAGCGTCGATTGCTGCGGCCTCCGTCGCGTACCTAGCGGTTTGAAGTGTCAGGTAGGCCCCAGATTTGCGCCGGGTCTTTTTACCCGTTTGCGGGAACTGGAACGGCATTCGCCTGTGCCTTGGGCTCCAGGGGTACTCGGGTAGGTGTTTGGGTCGTCGGATGGTACCCTGGTACCTCGGATTGAAGCGGGTTGTCGTCGATTACTCGGAGCTCTCTGTTAGTGCGTCCGTTCAGGTTCAGCTCCAGGCTCCGCCAATGCTTCCATATTTCATATGCAGCTCTCCTCTCTTAAAGGGACACTACAGGCACCTAGACCACTTCATCTCATTTAAGTGGTCTGGGTGTACTGTCCCCCTAACCCTGCAATCTCAGAAGGGTGGGGGGATGTGCAGAGGGACAGTGTAGTGTTAGAAATACAGATTTGCATTCCTAACTCTATAGTGTTCCTTTATCAGTAAGAAGTGTGGGACTCCCTTTGCAAATATAATAAGGGAACTCAGTTCCTATGGGTTTCGAATGCACTAGAATCCTACTTACGTACCATAAAAAAAGTAATATAGCTTATATAATAAACATGACAAGGATTGCTAAATTACTGGCACACATTACTTCTGGTGAGGATACGGAGCATAACATTTATTCACCTCGCAAAACCTTATACCCCACAATTACCAGCTGCCACTACAAGGTGGTAATATTTTAAGATATATTGAGCTGGAGGACATTGATTATTAAATTATAATGGTAAAAACAACTGATTATTAACTCAGATCGTAACATAGTGCATATTGCATCTAGCCAGAGGCCTTTAAGTGAATTATCGAAAGACATATTGGAATTTATATGTAAATCAGCTTGCTAAGATGCTTTATGTGTGAAGAGTGTGCCTCTATTTTGATTTTACAAAAAGTGCAGATCTTAATAGAAATTTACACTTAAAAAAAATAAAAATAAACATTGTTACATTCCTCTAGCTGTCAATCAGACAACAGATCCTGTTACTTCCTGGTTGTTTAGCCGACTGAAGCTAAACTCTAGAGAACAAAGATTTCCCATTGAGCTGCATTGTAAAATCTGTGATTGCACAGTCACAGAAAGTCTGGGGTGAAGAAGATGGGGTGAGCTTGCAAGTGCTGCAGCCGTTTTTAAATATACTGCAATGAAAAAAAAAAAAAGGCATGTTCAAATGCATGCCTTTTCCATTGGGGGTATATCTAGTAAAAAATGTTTGTTTTTTGTTTTTTGTATTTAGGTAATGGAGTGTCCCTTTAAATTGTTCCACACAGAAATTCCTAGTGGGAGCTGGATGGAGGGGTGGGGGCAGATCATATGTTTTACTGTTTAAGCAAGAGAAGAAAAACAAAGGATAAGCTTAACGAATTGGTTATCCCATTCTAAACAGATTACCTCTCAGAATAAAAAGACTACTTAGTTATCATATACCATATAACCTGAAGGCATAGGAGTACACAGCACATTTCATTAGGGTGTGCACTCAAGAATTCTTTCCCTATGTTATTGTTAATTTTTCATAAGAATTTGTTCCCTATGTTATTTTTAAATTTTTCATAACGTTTATACACATATATATACACTGCTAAAAAAAAAATGGAACAGTTAAACAACACAATGTAACTCCAAGTCAATCACACTTCTGTGAAATCAAACTGTCCACTTAGGAAGCACCACTGAGTGACAATCAATTTCACATGCTGTTGTGCAAATGGGATAGACAACAGGTGGAAATTATAGGCAATTAGCAAGACACCCCCAATAAAGGAGTGGTTCTGCAGGTGGTGACCACAGACCACTTCTCAGTTCCTATGCTTCCTGGCTGATGTTTTGGTCACTTTTGAATGCTGACGGTGCTTTCACTCTAGTGGTAGCATGAGACGGAGTCTACATCCCACACAAGTGGCTCAGGTAGTGCAGCTCATCCAGGATGGCACATCAATGTGAGCTGTGGCAAGAAGGTTTGCTGTGTCTGTCAGCGTAGTGTCCAGAGCATGGAGGCGCTACCAGGGGACAGGCCAGTACATCAGGAGACGTGGACTAGGCCATAGGAGGGCAACAACACAGCAGCAGGTCCGCTACCTCCGCCTTTGTGCAAGGGGGACAGGAGGAGTACTGCAAGAGCCCTGCAAAATAACCTCCAGGAGGCCACAAATGTGCATGTGTCTGCTCAAATGGTCAGAAACAGACTCCATGAGGGTGGTATGAGGGCCCGACATCCACAGGTGGGGGTTGTGCTTACAGCCCAACACCGTGCAGGACATTTGGCATTTGCCAGAGAACACCAAGATTGGCAAATTCGCCACTGGCACCCTGTGCTCTTCACAGATGAAAGCACACGTGACAGAGTCTGGAGATGCCGTGGAGAACGTTCTGCTGCCTGCAACATCCTCCAGCATGACCGGTTTGGCAGTGGGTCATGCTGGAGGATGTTGCAGGCAGCAGAACGTTCTCCACGGCATCTCCAGACATTTGGCATTTGCCAGAGAATACCAAGATTGGCAAATTCGCCACTGGCGCCCTGTGCTCTTCACAGATGAAAGCACACGTGACAGAGTCTGGAGATGCCGTGGAGAACGTTCTGCTGCCTGCAACATCCTCCAGCATGACCAGTTTGGCAGTGGGTCAGTAATGGTGTGGGGTGGCATTTCTTTGGGGGGGCCGCACAGCCCTCCATGTGCTCGCCAGAGGTAGCCTGATTGCCATTAGGTACAGAGATGAGATCCTCAGACCCCTTGTGAGACCATATGCTGGTGCAGTTGGCCCTGGGTTCCTCCTAATGCAAGACAATGCTAGACCTCATGTGGCTGGAGTGTGTCAGCAGTTCCTGCAAGACGAAGGCATTGATGCTATGGACTGGCCCGCCCGTTCCCCAGACCTGAGTCCAATTGAGCACATCTGGGACATCATGTCTCACTCCATCCACCAACGTGACGTTGCACCACAGACTGTCCAGGAGTTGGCAGATGCTTTAGTCCAGGTCTGGGAGGAGATCCCTCAGGAGACCATCTGCCACCTCATCAGGAGCATGCACAGGCATTGCAGAGAGGTCATACAGGCATGTGGAGGCCACACACACTACTGAGCCTCATTTTGACTTGTTTTAAGGACATTACATCAAAGTTGGATCAGCCTGTAGTGTGTTTTTCCACATTTTGAGTGTGACTCCAAATCCAGACCTCCATGGGCTGAAAAATTTGATTTCCATTTTTTTTTTATTTTTGTGTGATTTTGTTGTCAGCACATTCAACTATGTAAAGAACAAAGTATTTCAGAAGAATATTTAATTCATTCAGATCTAGGATGTGTTATTTTTGAGCAGTGTATTTTTTTTTTTTACATACTTAAAGCATTGCTCCCACCCCAATAACTTAATTAATTGCTTATTTTGGTATCACTTCTATGATTATGACACATAAATCTATCTGTCTTCTCCTGATCTTTCTTTCTCCATCCTTCCTAAATCGTGTCTCCAACTGCCTCACTGTTACGTCTAACTGGATGGCAGGTCAATTCCTTAAACTCAATCTCTCCAAGACAAAACTTGCCATCTTTCCTCTTTCAACCACCGCTGTTCCTATGTCTAGTGCTTCAGCCCCTACCTAACACAGGATGCAGCTAAGGTGTTTGTCCGTGCCGCTATCTTCTCCCATCGAGACTATTGCAATCCGATTCTCACTGATCTTATGTGCTCTCAGCTCGCCCCACTATAGTCTATAATAAATGTTGTAACGAGGCTCATCTTCTTGTCCTTCCACAATACCCACATCCCTCCTTTCAGTATTTACACTGGGTTCCCATAAGATATACAGCTTAAATTAAAATTCTGGTCCTCAGTTAAAGATCTCTTTTAACCCCTTAAGGACACAACTTCTGGAATAAAAGGGAATAATTTCCGTCATCTGTCCTTAAGGAGTACAGTTTCCGGATGCAATCTTACCTTGAGGGGTTAAACTGTTTTGCAAACTGAAGTTTGAACTCCAGCGCCCAACACTACCACCTCCTGTCTTCCTCCCCTCTGCTTCCAAATTATAAGGAAGGTTTAGCTAAGTAGCCAGAGATAGGCTGAGAGAATTAGGATATGTTCTAAGCTGAGCAACAGCCTTACACTATGAGAAATAGTATGTACTATGTCTCTCAATGGGAGCCAGTGGATCAATCTCATAAGAGCAGGCATTAGGTTGTTAGGATAGGACCTGCCAAAAAATGGGGTACATTGGCGTTATGGCAGGCTTATGCAATGTATGATCGTATACTGTAACTAACCCCCGTTATCTTGCCTAGGTCAAGTGTTTTTAAAAACAAAACAAAAAAATAAAATATTTTGAGAGCTTTGAAGTTGCTGTTTATTTATCTCTTTATTTGTTTTAGATAAAGAGATAAAACAACACACACATACACACACACACACACACACACACCCATATAACAGGTATTTCGTAGCTGTACATTCCCCATTAAAGAAGCCTCAGATGTTGCTGTGTTTAAGGATTTCTGGTAGATGTGAAAAGCAACAGGTGTTCTTTTACTGGAATCCTGTGTGGTTACCTGCAGGATGTACTCAAACTGAGCTTGCCAAAAGCCACAGCTGAGGTTCAATAAAGCTGCATCTAAACCTATAACGTGTTCTCAGCTTTTTCTCAGTTCTTTCCTCTACAATGCTGCCATCTACATTCAGGTCTTACTACACAGTGCTCGATACGTGGACTATAAGGGTTCTTTATTCTTAACCGTAACCTGCAAGATATATCCTCTGATATATTATATACACAATACAACAGCACAGACAAGGACTACATATTACACAACACAACAGCACAAACAAGGACTACACATTACACAATGCAACAGCACAAACAAGGACTACAGATTACACAACACAACAGCACACACAATGGCTACACATTACACAACAAAACAGTACAGACAAGGACTACATATTACACAATACAACAGCACAAACAAGGGCTACACATTACACAACAGCACAAACAACAACTAACTTATTACACAAAACAACAGTACAGACAAGGACTACACATTACACAACAGCAGACACAAGGACTACACATTACACAACACAACAGCACAAACA